TCGCCGGTCCCACTGCCTGTGCTGGGCGGGGGGGGGGGGGGGGGGGGGGGGGTGAGATCCTCAATATATTGTATTGTTGTCCCTGTATCATGATACCTGTTGAGTTGCCAGATTACTGCCAGTATACACCTCTAGTTGTAGCCATTGTTCCCTGAATAATTAACAACCAGTTCTCAAGATTTGAATTAAAAGAATCCACAAACCTGGACGTTAATAAAAACCTCTAACTCATATGAATAACACACACTCCAGCCTCAGCCTCAGCCTCAGCCTCACAGCAGACCACCCAGACCAATCACCACTGTCTGGATATTTCAGTTTCCACAGCCCAGTTAAGTTCTCTGCGAGTGGTTGCTGATGAAATCAAGGACAATCAGGAGGAAATGTGGACGTAAATATCTTTGGAAGTCTGTGCATTTTTATTTTTTTTTTTATTTTTATTTTTTTGTGGGGTGGGGGGTGGGGGGGGGGGTTTGCCCAGGCTGCAGTGATTTTCATGTCAAAACATAAATTTGCTTTTGTGTTTCCAGAATGTACGTCCTGTCTTTGACTGTGGGAATATTTAAAATTTAAAATCAGACTTTTATCATCGACCTCTTTAGTTTAAATCCACATCTGAAAAAAAACAGGTTTTAGTCCTGGGCTGCAACTACAGACACACACACACACACACACACTTTTAGATACTACACAAAGTTCTTGTTCTGGTCTGTTTCCATCTGGACTGGACCTAAAATAAAAACCTGGTGATTTTACTGTGCGACATCAACAACATCTGTCAGGAAATTCATTCAAAGTTTAATTGTGTGTAAAAAAAAGTGGCTTTTAAACAACATTTTCACCTCATCGTGGATGAAGGTTCACACACTCTCTCTCTCTCGGCCCTCGTGTCAGCTTCTAAAAGTGTGTGTGTGTGTGTTTACTGTAGGAGCAGTGATGGCGGTGTGTGAGGTTTCACAGCGAATCCAAAATAACGCCCGACGCCACGAGAATCACCTGCAGCTGTGTCGTGTGCAGAAACTGCTGAAAGGACGGAGTACAAAGGTGATGGCTGCAGGTGAGCGCCTCTGATCTCATATTCCTTTCATCTGGTCCGATGGAAAAGGTTTCCACAGCCTCTGCCGACGCGTGTCCGTGTCCACCGGGACACGGGTGAAGTTAGCTCAGATACAGTACCAACAGGTCCTGACTCCGCCCCCTTTCACACTCTGGACTCTCAGGGTTCACTGCCACTCCTGCTCCTGTTGTTTATCTCCAGAGGAGTCGGTCTCCTCGTTGATCCGCACGTCCTCGCCGTCCTCCCCCAGGACCAATTAGAGCGCCATCTCATCTTACAGACCAGCAGATAAAAAGGAAGTCAGAGTGTGTTTGCAGGATGTGGATGAACGCCTGTGCACAGAAGCAGAAGCAGCCAGTTGTACATTTGCTTGGGTATGCACGCCGGGTGTGTGTGTGTGTGTGTGTGTGTGTATTTACAGATGTGTCAGTACAGGCTGGGAGCTGTGAGTGCTGAATAGAAGCTCATCTCTCTAATGCTGATGTGGGAAGTTTGAAAAAGCTTCCTCTCATCCAGGCTCTCAGGCCCCGGCAACTCTGCCGGCTTTTCTTTCCAGCCAATAAAGCTCAAGTCCCAACAGACAGACTTCAGAGCAGCAGCACCACCAGCCGCACCACCACCATCGCCGCCGCCGCCGCGGCACCCCACCCTACAACCCCATGTAGACCCAATCTACTTCCTTCCCACCGCCAACTCCACCTCTAATGTCGGTAAAAGAAAGAGCTCTGTCTTTTACACAGGAGAGGCGTCGGAGCCTCCTGCACATATTAAGTAGCTCTGTAGGAGGTTGGGAGAAGGCGTTTGTGAGACACAAATACTGAATCGATGGGACATTGATACAACAGACCCCGGGCCTGATTCCTGCGAGGGTCCCTGTGTGTCTGCCAGCCTGTTCCTACCATTTAAAAACAAAGATATTTGACTTTTTCTATTATGTCTCATATTGATTTTCCTCCACTTGATGTCACTCTTTTGCCCTTGACTCTCGTATATAATTATCTCGTATTTCCCAGGGTTTTTGTCTCCAGAGTTGGACGTAGCGTTTACCTCTTCAACTTAAGCCTTGAGGTATTTTACAAATTATTAAATGCTTTTCTCAAATCGATTTGAGGATTTTTCCACCCACACAAATTCACGAATTTATCACAGATGGTGTTGTTTCCAGACAGACACGGTTCTGGTTCCACCTCCGCTCTGGAGTCTGAGAACCTCGGTACTTTCTGGTTGAACCAGTGGAACCAGAGTGGGCGGAGTTTATCGCTCTAAAATCTGGAAAATTAATAAATGGAGATTACGTGATGGATGGACGGGCAAAGCTGTTTAATTAATGTTGTCAAAGATGTGGCCCGTGGACCAGAGCAGGGCTGATAAGAAGTTTCTCGTGGACCACAACAACAGTCCTGTTGACTCCAGGTCTGGACTCTGTCCCTCATTTCTTTTACATGAACACGCTCTGATCCGGACCGCTCCACTTTCCAATTCTGGACTTAACTCGTCCTCATTCTGCCACACTGCCAGCCCTCTGCTTTTGTTCTTCTCCCGGCTTTGGACACATCAGGAGGAAGAAGACTCTTTGTAGATCGACCTTTGTTTCCTCCCCTCCCCCCCAGTCCTCCCTCCCTCCCCCCTCTTGGTCCTGCCCAAAAGACTTTGTAGTGGAGCAACGGCGCTCTTTGACAAGTACGGCTGAAAGGTGTGGACACGGACAGGAAGGGTTGGCACCTCCTGCTCTTTGAAGCTCAAAGCACCACGGACGGTCAGATGTTGGCAGGGGGTCTGAAGACAAGCGGGTCCACACACAGTCCTCACCCTACGACACCCCCACACCTTTCTGACGGTCCGTTCATACGGAGGTGTAAAAACGGGGAAAAGAATCTGATGATGTTCTTAAACTTTAGGTCTGATTAGTTCATGTTAGTTTTCTATCAAATGTAAAGACTGACAGACTGACAGTCTTCAGTCAGACTGACTGTCCTGGTTAAACAAGCCGGGCGTCTGACCTGAAGTTGTTGAAATGCATCATGGGAGTTGAGATAGTATTTTCAGTAGTGGTGCATGAAAATACAGACGCACGAAAATAATCGCAACATTTCCGTATCGATATTCTACAGCACTGAATCGATTTTTATTTTATTAACAATTAACAGTCAGATGTTCACGGCGTTGGTTCATTTTGTGTTGCACTTACTCCTCCAACCACTAGTTGATCGTTGAGGTACTGTCTATATTTGCAAATATTAGAGCCTTTGAGTCAAACCGTGCAGCGTTGGATGTCTTAGAAATGGGTGCAGACATAGAGTTGACCACTAGTTGTCCATAAAGAGTTTGTGTTAATAATGACACAGAACGATGTGACGCACTTCCACACATTAAAGATCCGCGGCGTGTCCCTTTAAACGGTGTTTCATTTAAAAACCCGTGGCATTTGAAAACCAATTTGACCCCTGTTGGCCGAGCCTCTTAATCTCACCGGACTTGTCTGTAGATGAAAATGTCCTCTCGAAGCCCCCGGGGCCACGACTGCAGCCACTCACACCGGCTGCAATCAGAGGCTGCTGGCTGGGCCAATTACAAAAACATCCTGAAACTCAGGCGGAATTTTTTATTTTTATTTTATCTCCCTAAATGTCAGACGTTTACTTTATAACCAGGCTGCTGACTGAACCTCCTCTGCTCCTCTTCACCTCCTCTTCACCTCCTCTTCACCTCCTCTTCACCTCCTCCTTCTCTGGAGGAGGCCACTCCTCGGTCTGCCTCCCAACACAATGCGTTAAACTCCTCAAGTCAAGACAGAATTCCACTTTTATAGAGGATTTTTGGGGAATTAAACCTGCACCAGTTTGGTTTTTAAGGCTGAAAAGAAAAATCAAAAATCAAAACGACTTCTGTTATAGATTTAAATCATCTGAGAAGAATAATCGACTTCTGTGACTAGATTTAAATCATCTGAGAAGAATAATTTACTCTGGGATGTAAAAAAACCAGACCCTAAAAACAGATAATTTTGGACCTCTGTATCAACACTTTGACTCAACGCGTCTCCCCGTCAGCGACACGAGGAGGAAACCCCGCCTAAAACTAAAACTTCAAATTAAAATCCCATTACGATTCATCCTTCCACTTCATTAAATGTTAATTAGTAAATTACACTTGCTTGTGTTGGTTGTGTTTGTGATGGGGGTCTTTAAGCGGTCCCTCTGACTTCAGCACACATACTTAAGCTGGAAATTGGATCAATGACAATTAGCAGGAGGTGATATCATTAGCTGCTGGCTGAAAAAGAAAAAAGTGCTAACATGATAAGAATGCTAATAAAAACGGAAAGGGTTTCTCATATCAGCTGACTGATAAAGGAGTGCGGAGATAAATGGAATCCTAATGGAATCGTTCACCGGCTAATGCTCAATGGAAACTTATCTGGAGTCGAGCTAAAAGAAGAGACGATCTTTAGACTCTTCAACGCACCCTGGTGTTGAGGATGTAATCAGGCGCTTAGCATCAGGGCTAATTAATTGAACACGGAACCTTACGATGTGAGTCCAACTGCTGATGCTGCTGCTGCTGATGCTGCTGCTGATGATGCTGATGCTGCTGCCTGTCTGACTCGTGTTGCAGGGCGGTGGTACGTCCGTGAGGGCTGGCTGAACGCCGTTCCGCCCAAAGGTAAAGAGGCCAAGGCCAAGATGTTCTTCCTGTTCTCCGACGTGCTGCTGCAGGCCAAACGCTGCAGCCCGCTGCACCCCACCACCGGAGACAAGTTCACGGGCCAGCACATGTACCCCCTCCAGGACTGTGTGGTGGAGAAGGTGTTTGGACACACCAAGAGCCGAGGAGGTCTGCTGAGTGTGAGTGTGAGGGATGAGGTGGGAGGGAGGTGGGAGGAGCGACATCAACGGGAACTCATATTGATAGAAAAACAAACATTGGAGACTTTTGTTTCAAGGCCTCATGTTAAAGATGGTCAGAACTGATCAATAACCAGCCTTGGTTATTGATCAGTTCTGACCATCTTTGACGTCACCCTCGTGTTGCCTTCACTGACTCTCGCCTCACTCTGTTGTTTTCGTTCAGATTAAAACACACATGTTGTCTTTTTACTGCAGTGACAACGATAAAAACCCGAATTGGCAGTTTTTGTGCTGATAATAAAAAAACACCGAGTCAGCAGGGGATAAAGTAATTATTGGCATTGATTAATTAGAGCATTTAACTGATAATAGCCCTTTAACTTCTGAGGCCGAATTTATTTAGGCTACGTATTTATTTTTTTTATGTCCATATTATCTTCTTCTTCACCAATTATTGGATTTTGTATCTTTGCCTTCAGAGAAGGATGGAAGTACGAATGTGAGAAGATCTGGGATGAAAGGCAGTGTGAGTTTACTTGTGGGTTCCCAACCCCCGGTTCGTGGACCAGTACTGGTCCCTGGTTTATTAGGTACCGGTCTGCAGTGATGGAAATAATGTTTTACTTTATTTTAAGAGAATCTGGCAATTTTTCAAAATAATAATAATATATCTTTCAGACTCTGGTACTACATCAACACAGGTCCCCAACCCGTGGTCCAGGGACCGGTGTTGGTCCGTAGGTCATTTGGTACCGGAACCGTTGTTTGAGTTTGAAAATTGAATCATCCTTCAACTGCGGTGTGGTATTATATACCGGCCGACCGGTTCTTGGTACCAAAAAGGTTCGGGACCGATGGTCCAGTAGATGTTTAGACCGGTCACTACTGGTACTGGGCAGTACCCAGGACCAGTCGTTGGTACAAAAAAGGTTAGGGACCGCTGGCTTCATGTATCAATTGTCATTATTACTAAAAAAAAAATCCTATTTTTTTTTTCCCGGTGCAGCTTCTGTGAGTGCATAAAAAATTCCAGGAAGTTTGAATTGAGGAGTGAAGCCGTGGGCGTTGGGCAGCAGCAGGTGTGGAGACATCTGTTCACTGATTGGTGTCCACACATGACTGAGTCCTGAGCAGAAGAACTGTTTCCTTCCCACTCTTGATGTATGTTGTTGTGATTCCTGGTACCGATGACCTTTATGTCTGCCGTCGTATAATCACAGGTTTCCTCGCCGTTTCCCAGCCTCGCCTAATGAAATGTCATTTTGTTCCGCTTGTCAGAGGAGACCCGCGGTCGCCTCCTCCTCCCTAATCACCTCGAACCCTCGTTGATGGCGCCCAAAAGTTGAACTTTTTCTCCGTTAATGCGTCCCTCCTTCTCCGTCTGATCCGTCTTCCAGGTCTCGCTGCAGCTGCCGGCTGACAAATCGCATCTAAATGATGCAGTTGCCGTCGTGAAACATTCAAAGGAAGGAGCCGTGCATCGGCGAGCGGGCGACCAGAGGAGCGTTTGTTGCCGATGCCACATGGTATCAATATTCATTTGGACTGGTGCGGCGGCGGCGCTGCTGCTCACGGAGCTCTTTATGTTGTGGATCTAATGTTCCATAAACAGTGGCTTCACGGAGCGCCGTCTCCTCGCACATCTGGCTCCGACACTTAGCGACTTCATAAAAGTCGACGGCAAATGAAGCACTGTTAATTAGCAGTTATTTTTATTACTGATTAATCCCTGTATTAGTTTTTACAAGTCCTTTAAATCCATTTAGCTCATGGTGAGAGCTCGGAAATCTTGACGGCGCTAATGAGCTGACAATTATGACCACGTACGTTTACAGTATCTGAATATTTACCACCAGACGACTTTGGTTAAAACCTTCACTTCACATTTAAAAAAATAAGGGGTGACAGTAGGAAGAAAAAAAGTTATCCCCACGGAGGGAGGAAAATATCGATACACCGAAATATCGCGATATTGTTCCAGCATCCCGTATCAATATCTCCTCAGTCATTGATCAGTTCTTGATTTTTTTCTCACCAATTCCCAGTCCAATATTTCTTTTTCTTTTCTTTCTTCTCTAGTGATTCCAAATGTAGATCCCTCTGTTAAAGATGGAACATCACGATACGTATCACGATACCATGCGTATCGCGATACATATCGTGATACTTATCACGATACGTATGGTATCGTGATACGTATCGCGATACCTATCGTATCACCAGATTCTTGACAATATTCAGCCTCAATGTAGTAAAAGAACAAAAACACTTTTACTGCAAAATTAACCTACTATAAACAATTAAAGTTTTTTATTATTATTATTAATGTAACAGTTGACAGAATCATTCATTAGTAGAATTAGCAGTAATTGTGTTCACACCATTTTCACCACAACAGTATACACTGTATATAAATATATCAAATTATTTTTTCATTTACAGTTTATTTATTAAAGTACACAAATATATATATATATATATATTTATATATATATATCAATTATTTTTATGACAGACGACCCACTTCCACGGCTGCCTCCACTCTCACCTCCTCGTTTCACTCCACACACACACACACAGACAGACGACTGTACGACTGTAAACATGTTTCCGTAGCAACTTAGACCAGACTGTGTTTTTGGCGTCGCCGTTCGTTCGTTCTTTCGTTCGTTCTCCTTCGTTTTAGCTCCATCAGAACTGAATGACTTGAAGCGGTCGGATTAAGAATCATCCTCCGAGTGACTGATGAGAAGTCTGCTGGTGATTAGTCAGAGCGCCCTGTGTGTGTGTGTGTGTGTGTCGGTGTGTGTGTGTGTGTCGGTTGCTGCCAGCTGTAACTGCATCTCTCAGCTGCTTCATCAGATTAGGCTGCAGATCCGTCTCCTCCGGCCTCTCCAGTAAACACATCTTCCTCCAGACTGCGGCGGCGGCGGTGGCGGTGACTCCGACCATCTACAGCTGCGGCAGAGATGGCGTTTCATTAGCCCGTGATCCCCACGCCGCCGCAGATGCATACTCAACAGCATTACATGTAATTTCTCATAAGGACACAGTATTGATCCGGGTGTTTACCCCCCCCCCCCCCCCCCCCCCCCCCCCTCCACACATAAAACCCCCCCCCCTCTCCCCACCCCGCCCTGCACCATGAAGAATTAAAGGCAGATTAAATGTGTCGGCTGTAAATGCCGCCGTAATCTATATGCAAAGTTTAGGAACCAAAAAAAAAAAGAAAGAAAGAAAAAAATCTTTTATTGAATCCGCCTGTTATTTCTGTGGTTCCGTGTCGGTGTTGGAGATTTGGAGCTGTTAGTTGTGCTTTTATCCGACTCACCCCTCCTCACCCTCCGTCTGCACTCTTCCTTCTGCTAATATTCCCCGGCTGCTGGATTATTTTCCCACATCCCTGACACGTTCTCTTTGATGTATAAATAATCAAGCCAAATGATGTGCAGCGGTGGAGGCTCCCAGCTCCGTTCACACACCTAACGGCCTCACGTTTACTGACAAATCCCTAATTACGGCATTCCAATAGGAGGGAATGTATTTGTGCACGAGTCCAACCAAACCCCACCACCACCACCACCACCAGTCAAATGTCTTCCACGGCTCCACTTCTGATGATGGTGAATTGGACTTTTTTTAATTTCTTTAATGTCTGGAGATCGTCCCACAACAGATAAAAACACACATCAGTGTGTCTCTGCCTCTCATCTGTCCGCAAGTTGTTTTTTTTTTCTTTTTTTTTTTTCATTTACATAACAGTAATTAACGGTATTTGTCACATGATTTAATTGGTCCACGTAGACAGTCGTGTGTGGACCAGAACCTCGGTGAAAAAAAAACAAAAACAAAGGTGGTTCTCCCCCCGGTTCTCTCTGGTTCTCCCCCCCGTTCTCCCCCGGTCCCCCCCCCCGCTCCCCCCCCGCGTCCCCCCCCCCTCTCCACGGTTCTCTCCGGTTCTCTCTGGTTCTCCCCCCGGTTCTCTCCTGTTCTTCCCCCCGTTCCCTCCCCTTTTCCCCCCCCCTTCTCTCCCCTCTCTCCGC